TACATTGTTTGATTCATTTATATAGTATTGTTTCGTGTACCGCGGTTACTTGACATTCAGACTTTTGTGTTCCGAATGTATTCTCCTTTCTCTTCCCTTTTTCTCCGATTTTTCTCTGTCTTTTTTTTGTTCTTCTCTGGGGTCAGCTGGCAACATTTAAGGACTCTTAGGGACCTTTTCACTTTTCGGGAACAAGGGGTCTCTATCCTGATTAGCTCCTTTATTACTTATAATGTCTTCCCTACGTTCAACTAGAGGAGGTATTCGTCTAATTTCTCACAATGTCCAAGGGCTTAATTCCCCATCCAAATGCATACAGGCCTTTATCTCATACCACTCCCTTGGGGCAGATATAGTTGCATTACAGGAGACGCATTTTTCCCCCTCCTTCTCTCCACGCTATATCCATAAAAATTACCCTCTCTGCTTTTTTGCTAATGCTACAGAGAAAAAACGGGGGGGGGGGGGGGGGGTGTCCCCTTGCTTTTCTCGCCGAATGTCCTTTACCGAATCTAAAATTATCCGGGACAACAACATAAGCAAAATCCCAGTCCTGATTTGTTACTTAAACTTGACCAGGCCAGACTGGAACTTAACTTGTGTCTTACTACCACTGCTGACAAACAACTTTGTTGGTCTAATCATAAATTTTTTACTTGGAGGGACAGACCTGGCACCCTATTAGCACGCAAGCTAACTCCCAGACATTCCCAGACGGCCCTCCCCAAACTCAGACTGGATAACTGTTCGTTATTCCAGGACCCTGGTAAGATCCTCCACAAATTTCATTCTCTTTCTACACTCAACTTTATAGCTCGCCCAAAGGGGGTTCTTCTTCTTCTCTTGATACTTTTATGGAGTCTATTTCACTTCAGGAGGCCCATAGGGAGATGATGGAACGACCTATCTCATGTGAAGAAATTGGGAATGCGGAGAAATCTCTTGCCTCTCATAAGGCCCCAGGACCAGATGGTCTTCCCAATAATTACTATAAAGCTTTCCCTGATATTCTGACGCCCCATATAGCCCTCTATTTTAATTATTTGCATTATAAGGCATTCATTAGTGCCATTCCCAAGCCTCTCAAGGATGCCGCTATGGTCTCCAATTACTGGCCTATTTCCTTAATTAATTGTGATTTAAAGATTGTTACTAAAATCCTGGCCCTACGTCTTCATAACTTTTTGGCCCTATATATTCATGATGACCAATCAGGATTCATAAGCGGTCGACAAACATCGGACCAAATTAGACAGACTATAGCTTTGCTGTCAGCTGTGCAGTCCAATTGGGACGGGTCTCCACAGAGGGAAATTCTACTACTGTCATTGGATATTCAGAAAGCATTGGACAGTCTGTTCTGGGACTATTTATTTAGAACGTTAGACAAATTTGGGTTTGGCCCTTATTTTACGACGCTGTTGCGGGCCCTCTATTCTACTCCGTCCGCTCAAGTTTCCATTCGTGGATATAAATCAGTCCCTTTTTCGATAGAACGAGGGACTAGACAGGGATGTCCTCTTTCTCCATTGCTGTTTGCGTTGGCAATGGAACCACTTGCGATTGCTATTCGCGCTGATCCCACTATCTTGGGTGTTTACTGTGGTCAACGGGATCATAAATGCACCCTATTTGCTGATGATGTTCTCATGTACATATCCAATCCTCGAACATCCCTGGCTGGTTTCTTCCATTTGTTTCATCGGTTTTCTGACGCCTCCGGTCTTACACTTAACTCATCTAAAACAGTTGCTTTAAATATCTCGTTACCCGATTTGGAGGCTCGTTACTACCGGGAAAATTTTGATTTTCAATGGGCCCCTGGTTCTCTCCCCTATCTAGAGATTCACCTTATGAAATCTATATTGACATTATACAAGGCCAACTATCTCTTGCTTTTCAAACAACTTAAAAATGGCTTACTAGACTGGCAGGATCTTTCACTTTCCTGGTTCGGTAGAATTATTTCTATTAAAATGACCTTTCTACCAAGATTATTGTACTATTTCAGGACACTACCAATCATGATCCCCAAACGGGAACTGTTATTACTACAAGCAACAGTCTCTAGATTTGTATGGAGGGGAAAACACCCTAGGCTTAACAAATCTACCTTATTTTCTCTGAAGAGGCATGGCAGTTTGGGACTCCCTAATCTTTTAGCATACTTTCAGGCGGCCCAGATAGCACAGTTATCATGTACTATGGCCAGGGGATATGTCCCCCAATGGGTTGGGATTGAGGCTCTTTCGTGCCGTCCATATGCTATTGGTTCTCTCATGTGGCTTACCAGTGGATTGCGTCCTCCTATTTTGTGTCCTACTCTATCCTATTCTTTATCGGTGTGGGATTGATGGGGAGCTCGTAAACCTTTCTCCTCTCCGCATACCCCGTTAGCCCCGGTGTTTAGTAATCCTGAGTTTTCCCCGGGTCTATCTTCCTCGAGGTTCCACTGGTGGATTAATAAGGGGTTGTTACGTATCGGAGACTATTTAGATGCGGGTCATCCTCGGTCTCCTCAATATTTTGTGACTAATTATAAGATGCCTCATGGAGAAATATTCCGTTATCACCAACTTTGCTCTTTTATCAATAGCAAACTTAGATTACTTACAGAACCTTGTGCGCTTACTTCCCTCGAGGTCTCCTGTGGGGCAAGTGGAATGATGCGAGGTCGTTTATCCATTATTTATGCTTCGTTGGTTGATCCCCTCACTAAATTATCCTACATGACCCAATGGGAGAGGGATTTAAATAGTTCATTAGATTTAGATACGTGGCGGAATGCGGCTCATACTCTATCGAAGATCTCGATTAACACTGATCTTGTTGGTTCCTACTCGCCTAGCCATAATGTATCCCTCAGTGTCATCTAGCTGTTTCCGACGCTGTGGTCAAGAGGGTACCATGTTCCACGTTTGGTGGAAATGTCCAGTTGTGAGTAGGTTCTGGATCCGCATATTCAATTTTATATACTCAGTAACAGGAGTTAGTATCCGTAGATCGCCGGAAGTGGCTTTGTTCAATATACTACCCTCTGACGTTCCCAAAAAAAATCGACTAAACTAATGTTATACCTATTACTGGCGGCTTGCATTACCCTAGCTAGAAGTTGGAAACAATCTTTGATCCCGTTAAACAGGGTGAAACAAAAACTTATCTGGATAATGGTTAACTATAAACTGCCAAGTATTGTCGATGACGATATGTCCAGATTTGAGAGGACTTGGGAGCCTTGGATTAATTACATTACTGTATCATGAGAGTCCTACAGCTGACCCCCCCCCCCCCCCCCCTCTTATTTTCTTCTTTCCCTTAGGAGTAATTTCCTTCTTCTTTTCTCTCTTTCTTCTCTCTCTTTCTACTCTATTCGCTGAATTATTTCTGTCACATTTGGTTCATTCCTTTGGTTCAATTTCTGTTTATTGATTTATGAAACCTGTATGTCTTGATGGTTATGGCACTCTCTGTGTGTATTTGTAATGCCACTTTTCGATCATCTTTTTGCATGCCTATCAGTGTTATGATTCTGATTCTATATCTCGTTCCACCATGTAGGTGGACTTTTTTTTTTTTGCCATCTCGTTTTATGCTTTTCTATGCTTGTTTTCTCAATAAAAATATTGAAATATAAAATTATGCACAATCTCAAGGTACCCCATTCCAAAACGTAAAGCACTTAATGAATAATTTTACATAATGCAGCAGCATCCACACACTTAGGATACCCAATATTAGAGGTGATTTATTCTTACAAAGCAATATACCTTTGCACACTGGTACTGACTAGTATTCCAGGACTTCTCCTCATAACTCATCTAACATAACCCCAGTGCTGATGGAGATGGATAGATGGATAGGGAGGGGCAAACGAGGATGCTGTGCAGGCATTAATGTCCTCTAGATCAGCCAATGACGTCATTGGTTTTTAGGATGCCAGCAGCTGGCCACACAGTATCCAAGGCTGTAATGGTGCACAATGAAAACCTATGGCTTTGTGTGACACAAAGGCAGGCTTTGACTCACCTTCTAACTTGTAATTTGTAGGCAATTAGGGATGATGTTTTTAGGCACTTTGCCAAGACACCCCTGAGGAACCCAGAAGGCACTCTGGTTGCAAAAGGTGGTACCGGACTATTGACTATTAGACCTTTTACTGAGAGCTTACTAATATAGCAAATTTGTGGTCAACAGGTCTAAGGAGGTATCTGCTTCTCTTGTACAAAGAAATGGCAACCACCACAACCTATAACTGGCCTTTGCAGCAAGGAGCACATGGAAGGGCTATGCATGTCAAAAAACAAAAATTCCAAGCTCACTTATTTGCCAGCCTGCAACAAACCGAATTAACCCTGTCTAGCAGTTCATGTTAAAATAAGGGATTTGGTTTGCACACATTTGTAAATATATGGATAAGCTGCAAAGGCCATCTCACGGCACCCCAGTGTACTAATTCTATAAATTGAGTCTCCAAAGTTTGAGCACATATATAATAATGGATAAATTGAGGGCAGGTATGCCTGGATGAACCCACCCCTCCTTAAAGGTATAGGGACACACTTTACACCCAGCAATAGCACAATGGCAGTGAAGGTATGCAGTGCGTCCCCTCAACAGTTCACCAATAGTACACACAAATGGCAACCACCCCAACCTATACCTGGCCTTTGCAGCAAGGAGCACATGGAAGGATGATGCAAGAAAGGGGTGTAGTTTGCTTCTTTGAAAACTGCAAGGTATCTGCTTCTCTGCAAACTATTTTGTAACCTAAACATGTAAAGCCTATGGCAAGGTGAAATATTTTAGTAGTATAGTCTGTAATGAAATTCAGTAAACATTACTAATACAGATTAGCATGGTTTCTTATGATTGGTCCTCTTGTTTTTGCATTTTGTGGATGAATCATTTGATCATAGGTGAACAGTGTGATGTATTCATCCCTCAGTTTTTGAATGCTATTGTTTTGTGAGTTTACACTAATGCCTATTCATCCTTTCTAGGCAGAGAAGCAGTCTTTGAAGCTGAGCCTTGAACGGCTGGAAAATGAGCTTCACTCGACTACAGAACAAAATGACATTTTAAATAAGAAACTGCTGGAAGCTGAAAGAAAGGCTCATACACTCACTAGCAAAGTAATGTATTATGTCCAGTAATAACTTTGCTATTAAAAGTTTGTGTTTAGATAACCACTTAAACACATTTACATTTTTTTTTTTTTTTTGGACAAAAAGATCCATCTATTTTACATTGCAATATTCAATAACTTGACTTTTTGCTGGGAACACAGCTTAGAGGTGTATGACCAGAAAGTGACTGACATACCTGGAAACTTTTGAAAATGGTAATGTCAAAAGAATGGAGGCAGAGTAGGGGGTAGAGCAGTGGGTGGAACCAATAATGGCATGCACAGTGCACTGGTGAGGTCAGTGATGGGTGTTGCGAAATTGTGGCAATAGTGGGTGGGGCTTAAACCTGAGCATACATACAGAGTACAGAGGTTAGAAGAATGTAATGTACAGAATACAGGGGTTAGAAGAATGTAATGTACAGAGTGCAGGGGTTAGTAGAATGTAATGTACAGGGTGCAGGGGTTAGAAGAATGTAATGTACAGAGTGCAGGGGTTAGAAGAATGTAATGTACAGAGTGCAGGGGTTAGAAGAATGTAATGTACAGAGTACAGGGGTTAGAAGAATGTAATGTGCAGGGGTTAGAAGAATGTAATGTGCAGGGGTTAGAAGAATGTAATGTACAGAGTGCAGGGGTTAGAAGAATGTAATGTACAGAGTGCAGGGGTTAGAAGAATGTAATGTACAGAGTGCAGGGGTTAGAAGAATGTAATGTACAGAGTGCAGGGGTTAGAAGAATGTAATGTACAGAGTACAGGGGTTAGAAGAATGTAATGTGCAGGGGTTAGAAGAATGTAATGTACAGAGTGCAGGGGTTAGAAGAATGTAATGTACAAAGTGCAGGGGTTAGAAGAATGTAATGTACAGAGTGCAGGGGTTAGTAGAATGTAATGTGCAGGGGTTAGAAGAATGTAATGTACAGAGTGCAGGGGTTAGAAGAATGTAATGTACAGAGTGCAGGGGTTAGAAGAATGTAATGTACAGAGTGCAGGGGTTAGAAGAATGTAATGTACAGAGTACAGGGGTTAGAAGAATGTAATGTGCAGGGGTTAGAAGAATGCAATATACAGAGTGCAGGGGTTAGAAGAATGTAATGTACAGAGTGCAGGGGTTAGAAGAATGTAATGTGCAGGGGTTAGAAGAATGTAATGTACAGAGTGCAGGGGTTAGAAGAATGTAATGTATAAAGTGCAGGGGTTAGAAGAATGTAATGTACAAAGTGCAGTGGTTAGAAGAATGTAATGTACAGAGTGCAGGGGTTAGAAGAATGTAATGTACAGAGTGCAGGGGTTAGAAGAATGTAATGTACATAGTGCAGGGGTTAGAAGAATGTAATGTGCAGAGTACAGGGGTTAGAAGAATGTAATGTGCAGGGGTTAGAAGAATGTAATGTACAGAGTGCAGGGTTAGAAGAATGTAATGTGCAGGGGTTAGAAGAATGTAATGTGCAGGGGTTAGAAGAATGTAATGTACAGAGTGCAGGGTTAGAAGAATGTAATGTACAGAATACAGGGGTTAGAAGAATGTAATGTACAGAGTGCAGGGGTTAGTAGAATGTAATGTACAGGGTGCAGGGGTTAGAAGAATGTAATGTACAGAGTGCAGGGGTTAGAAGAATGTAATGTACAGAGTGCAGGGGTTAGAAGAATGTAATGTACAGAGTACAGGGGTTAGAAGAATGTAATGTGCAGGGGTTAGAAGAATGTAATGTGCAGGGGTTAGAAGAATGTAATGTGCAGGGGTTAGAAGAATGTAATGTACAGAGTGCAGGGGTTAGAAGAATGTAATGTACAGAGTGCAGGGGTTAGAAGAATGTAATGTACAGAGTGCAGGGGTTAGAAGAATGTAATGTACAGAGTACAGGGGTTAGAAGAATGTAATGTGCAGGGGTTAGAAGAATGTAATGTACAGAGTGCAGGGGTTAGAAGAATGTAATGTACAAAGTGCAGGGGTTAGAAGAATGTAATGTACAGAGTGCAGGGGTTAGTAGAATGTAATGTGCAGGGGTTAGAAGAATGTAATGTACAGAGTGCAGGGGTTAGAAGAATGTAATGTACAGAGTGCAGGGGTTAGAAGAATGTAATGTACAGAGTGCAGGGGTTAGAAGAATGTAATGTACAGAGTACAGGGGTTAGAAGAATGTAATGTGCAGGGGTTAGAAGAATGCAATATACAGAGTGCAGGGGTTAGAAGAATGTAATGTACAGAGTGCAGGGGTTAGAAGAATGTAATGTGCAGGGGTTAGAAGAATGTAATGTACAGAGTGCAGGGGTTAGAAGAATGTAATGTACAAAGTGCAGTGGTTAGAAGAATGTAATGTACAGAGTGCAGGGGTTAGAAGAATGTAATGTACAGAGTGCAGGGGTTAGAAGAATGTAATGTACAGAGTGCAGGGGTTAGAAGAATGTAATGTACAGAGTGCAGGGGTTAGAAGAATGTAATGTGCAGAGTACAGGGTTAGAAGAATGTAATGTGCAGGGGTTAGAAGAATGTAATGTACAGAGTGCAGGGGTTAGAAGAATGTAATGTGCAGGGGTTAGAAGAATGTAATGTACAGAGTGCAGGGGTTAGAAGAATGTAATGTACAAAGTGCAGGGGTTAGAAGAATGTAATGTACAGAGTACAGGGGTTAGAAAAATGTAATGTACAGAGTACAGGGGTCAGATGTGTAATATACAAAGTAAGGGGGTCAGAAGTGGATAATGCACAGAGCGCTGGCGTCAGGCATATGTAATGTATACAGTTTAGATGTCAGAAGAATATACAGCACAGCACCACCTTTGATTACCGCATATGCATATCCACTGCATACACCTGCATATATATATACCTGGTAACTGATACAATGCCCCTAGCCTGGTGGTGGGGGAGATTTTTGCAAAGTGGGAATGTGAGGGGAGGCAAAATGGGGTGTGCAACATAAAATTGTGGATGTGACCAAAAGCTTTACAAGGGCTGTTAATATAAAGCCAATTATAAATGCGGTGGTACTTTTATCAAATAAAGGAAAACTGATGAAAAATACTTTTAGAAACCAATTATAAAACTGTTGTTACCCATAGCAACCAATGACAAACTAGTAAAAAGCCATAGTAAATATGAGCGTCTTTCTTTCATAGTGAAGAGGAGTTCTTTCTTTTAACACATGCCACTGCATTCCCCAGACTGTCCCCAAACAATGTGTAATAGACTCCCTCAAGAACCTGTTCTGGCCAGCTCAGTAGATTATTTTTTAAAAAGAGACTGGATTCTTTCCTAGATAAACATAATAAACCTGGATACTAATATTTATAGGTAAAGTTGATTCAGGGAATATCCAATTGCCTCTTGGGGATCCAGGAAAGATTTTTTCTTTCCCCCGTTGAAGCAAATTGGATTATTTACTGGGGGAATTTTTTGCCTTCCTTTGGATCAACAGTGGGCACAAATCTTAAGCAGGCCCTCCTGGAGATTAGTCATTCCAGAAATGACCTGGCAAACTGACCTACATTCTGGCACTGTCTGGTCAGTTCTGGCAAGTTACCTTTTTTTGTGATTTGAGTTGTGATAGACTCTTCCTGCTTGTTTTTCTATGCTGTTGTGTTTTGTGAAACTCTGCAGCTGCAAAATCCAGCTTGAAATCCCTGAAGCTGCTGGCCCAGGCATTTCCACTTTATCTGTTTGCATTAACACCCCTGCTTGTATAACCATACATTTATTTGATGACAAATTAAATCTAGAAAATCATTTTCCAGGATAGGTGAAAGGGCAGTCCCAGTAAGCAAATGGGATAGGTAAGCTACATCAGTTGTGTTTTGATGTCACTCAAGAGTGGAAAAGTGTCCTTGTTAAATATCTTTATAAGTAGGAAATCAAAACCGTAAATTTGGAAGAAGCATTGTAAGCATGCGCCCATAGGATAACATTCATGCAATGTGCTTGTATTTTAATACGGTGCTGGATTTGAAAATCGTATTGGGTTAAAGGGGAAGTTATGTTTGCATATACTGAAACTGAAATGGTTTGGTATATTCGACTATTATGTGCTAACACATACTTATTTTCTATAATACAGATTGATAAACTAAAGCATTCCCACAACATTGAAATTACCAACATAAAATTAGAAGCTGCCAGAGCAAAGAATGAAGCTGAGAAAGATAAAGACAAAATTCAAAATCAGCTGGAAGGTAGTGAATCCTAACACAATTATTTTAAAATATGACCTGATTTGAAACATGTACTGTATATTGTTTCTTTTTATGAAAATGTGTTCTAATGCAGTAATTATGGTGTTATTTGATTTTAAAAAATGTACAGCCTCCTAAAAATATACCGTATTTTTCGCTCCATAAAACGCACTTTCTGTGTGTCTTATAGAGCGAATATGGAACGGCCGGCCCGGTATTCCCGCAGCCTCCCTGTTAGAATATGGGTCGGCCGCTCGGCTCTACTGTGCAGAAGAACCCGCTTCTCGGTCCTACCTGTTCCTCGGACCAGCGGTGTCCTGCTTTCACCGGCCGTCTTCTCTCCCTGGCACCGGCATCTGCAGTGTGGACACCCGGCTGTGACAGCTGATGGCTTCACAGCCGGGTGCCCACTGCGCATGCGCGAGAAGCGCTGCACTTTGTGAATTGCCACCTGTAGTCTTCTGGGACCTGTCACGTGTCCCACAAGACTCCGTGGAAGTGGGAGCGGGTACTTGTCCCCAAAGGTCTGCAGTCTCTGGTCATCTCCTGTACTGTGTCCGCAGCCTCTTGTCATCTCCTGTACTGTGTCCGCAGTCTCTGATCGTCTCCTGTACTGTGTCCGCAGTCTCTGATCGTCTCCAGTACTGTGTCCGCAGTCTCTGGTCGTCTCCTGTACTGTGTCCGCAGTCCCTGGTCATCTCCTGTACTGTGTCCGCAGTCCCTGGTCATCTCCTGTACTGTGTCCGCAGTCCCTGGTCATCTCCTGTACTGTGTCCGCAGTCCCTGGTCATCTCCTGTACTGTGTCCGCAGTCCCTGGTCATCTCCTGTACTGTGTCCGCAGTCCCTGGTCATCTCCTGTACTGTGTCCGCAGTCCTGGTCATCTCCTGTACTGTGTCCGCAGTCCCTGGTCATCTCCTGTACTGTGTCCGCAGTCTCTGGTCATCCCCTGTACTGTGTCCGCAGTCTCTGGTCATCTCCTGTACTGTGTCCGCAGTCTCTGGTCATCTCCTGTACTGTGTCCACAGTCTCTGGTCATCTCCTGTACTATGTCCGCAGTCTCTGGTCATCTCCTGTACTATGTCCGCAGTCTCTGGTCATCCCCTGTACTGTGTCCGCATTCTCCGGTCATCTCCTGTACTGTGTCCGCAGTCTCCGGTCATCTCCTGTACTGTGTCCGCAGTCTCCGGTCATCTGCTGTACTGTGTCCGCAGTCTCTGGTCATCTCCTGTACTGTGTCCGCAGTCTCTGGTCATCTCCTGTACTGTGTCCGCAGTCTCTGGTCATCTGCTGTACTATGTCCGCAGTCTCTGGTCATCTGTACTATGTCCGCAGTCTTTGGTCATCTCCTGTAGTTTGTCCGCAGTTTGGTCATCTCCTGTAGTTTGTCTGCAGTCTCTGGTCATTTCCTGTTCTATATCTGCAGGCCATTGGTTCAGAATATTTTTTTTCTTGTTTTCCTCCTCTAAAATCTAGGTGCGTCTTATGGAGCGAAAAATACGGTAATATAAAGCTCCTTCTGGGTTCTCTTTAGGGCACGTCTATACTGAAGACAAACAAGATGCAAAGGAGCAATCATATGGGTTTTCAGTAGCTGATAAGACAGACTGTACAAGCCCTGTTATATGGGCTTCAGCTTGTCTAAAAACTGTGTGCATATAAAAAGCTTTTCCAAATTATTTGAAAAGCTTTCAACAAGCATTACACAGCTTTTTTTTAAACCTTTAGAGCAGTATTCAGCTCTTGATTGGTGGTGGTAGGGGGAGCGATGACTGTCACTTTAAGCAAGCTGATGGTAAGCTTCACTAATACTTAAAAGCCTGCTGAAACCAGCAAGTAGCTTGTTTTAAAGTGAAAATCAGTTTACTTATTAATATCTATGTTTAATATCCCCTTAAGGCTTCAAAAAGCTGCTTTCCAAATACTTTACACTTACTTTTGTAAAGGTTTTCTGTACACATTGGCTTCTCATATACTGAAGCCTGTATGTACAAGGCCTTATACTGATAAATTATTGATAAAACCCTCAGCCTGTACCATCCTGGCAAGACTTGCCAGAGTAGTTACAAGAAGAAATGTAACCTGTTTCTTCGATGGTTTATTTAGAAGAAGACATAAATGGTAGCCTCTGTAATTCTGTCAGCATAAGTTTACTTTAAAACTATGTATAGTTACATTTATTGCACATCAGTGCCTGCTTGTTTCCTAATTTTAAAGAGTGGTGGTGTTCTTTAATTCCTGCCATCCCGCACTGGCCTTTGCATCAGTAAAAAATTATTGCACGCTGCTTAGGAGTTAATATTAATGTACCCAAATAACCTGTAGTTATTATACCTGCCATAGAGTTGGTTGAAATTATTACTGAGTAAGAAAAAAAGGAACTTTGAAAATGGAAAATTCTATTTGGCAGAATTAGAAACAGAAAATGGGATTCTGAAAGCAACTCTAGAACGCCAAAAGGAGCTACTGGCTGAGAGAGAGCGTGAACTGATACGTAAAGTGCAAGCTGCCAAAGAAGCAGGCCTACAGGAAACTGCTACAATCCTGGCTGAAAGGTCAGCAATGCGTAACTCTGTACTGTACTGTACACGTACCTGCTTGTTTATTCCAATTCATGTGTGGTTCCCTGTTTTTAAATTTAGATGTTGGCTGTTGTATTTTCCCTTAGGCTGGAGCTAGAAAACAGAGTAACTGAATTGGAGAAGTATAAAGAGGATCAGGACCACCATAACCACACAGAAATAAATCAACTCAAAGAAAAGGTTCAGATTGCTCAGTTAGCAGAGGAATCTGCCAGAAAGGAACTTCAGAATTTAAGGTTAGTTTTTAATTGTATAAATACTTGAGTGTGCGTTTTTAATTTTTATAGCAGGCTATATTTTAGAAATGGTTGCTTAAAGTGGAGCTAAACTCTCAGTGGAGAGGCAAATGGCTAAATACTCTGTTTACTGTCTTACGGACCGGTTTGCAATTTTTGGACAACCTTTATTGTGATATTCTGACATTTGATAGTCAGGAGATCACTCCACTTCTCTCTGGTTTACCACATTACTGCTTTCTGGTTAAACCCCCTGTACAGAATTGATGAAGATAAGCCATTGTCCTATGAATAGGCTGGAGGTGTTCTAGTAAGCTGCATTGCTGAACTAGAAAATAAGTGTCACTTATCTGTATGCACAGTGGAGCAATGTTGCATAAATCACAAGCTGATTTAAAGCAGTATCAGTTTTTCATAGTATTCAGGTCCTGATGGAACATGTAGTACCTTACCCATTTTTCCTAGGTGTGCTAGCTACAATGTTAGATAGGGTGCCCCTCCTCAACACATGGATGTCCAACACTGCAGCTAGCAAGGCAACAGATGCATTGCTAGTTATCACTTGTTTCTTAGCACTTTCCCCTAATAAGGTTATGCAAAGTAAAATCTGCAGTGCTAGAACAGCCATCATACAGTGTGAAATCTTACAATTACTGTACAATATCCAACTGCCTTCCCTGTTCAGCTGGACCCCCCTTTTCAAAAAGAATAAAACCTCTAATTCCAGAATTTTTTTTTTTTTTTTTTTTTAGAGAACTCCTATATTGGGGTCGGAGACAGGAAGGCAAATAGCAGTTTGTGAAGGAGCTCAGTGTTTGCAGTTTAATTTTTCTCAGTGCATTAATAATTTCAGTATGCACATAGGGTCTTTGGGGGGCTGTAGCTGTATATCCGAGAGGTGGCCATGCATTGTAACAATATGATGTGGCACCAGACTGTGCCTACTAACAACATGCAAGTTTACTACTTAAGTATGCAATGTAATATTACATTACTGCACCTGTCTAGGTTTTATGGAAAAAAACTATTTCTCTGGTAAATGTTATATAAATACATGTATAAAAAAGGCTGCCCAGACACTACCCTATGCCAACAAGTGATGCTTATTTTCTCAACATTTCTTACAGTATATGGACAATGCAGGAGATACCTAGTGATCATTGAAATGTCCATTATCACACAGATTTTCTATGTGACTAATTCAGGGCCATTCCTATTAATACACATACCTGGGAGCAGTCCCTATACTGCTTGGGCTTCAGTGGTTAATATTGCCCAAGTGGGGAGAAAATACATTGTAGGCGCATCAACTGAGATAAAAAAGGACTTTCTTCTTTTTTTGTTTCGATAAATCTGGGGACTCCTTAATATTTCTATATCTATTTAATTGCACATTAAATATTTGGTGGTATTCAAGTAATCTTTTAGCTATGGCTAAACTCTTTTGTTTCTTCCTTTTTAGATCTAAACTCCAGCAACAGGTGTCCTATGCAGAACAGATAAAGAAAGAAGTCCATGATGCAGCAGAGCTCAGACAAGTAAGGATGCTGATGCATGTAGAACATGAATTAGTTTTACATGCAGACTACAGAAAGCTGTCTTCATTAGTTATTTTTGTTTTTAACAGGTAAATATTACTATATAATTAAAAGCAGAAATTATTGTACAATATGTTTTTTTTTGCCTTAGTATTCCTGGTGTGTACTATCTGTCCACTCCTAGTGTAGCAGCTAGAAGGCAATGGCTTTTACAGCCAGTCATTTGTCTTCCTTTACCGTAGGTTCACACTTGTGCAGGGTTGCAGCCTGCGTTTGTGTATGGCACCCTATTTATTTGAATCGCACCATTTTAAAAACATGGCCGCAGGGAGATTGCATAGTGCATTTGTACAATGCTATTTCCCTGTGGTTCCTGCACCGCAAACGCACTTTAAGGGTGAATGCCAGGCTGCACATCTCTACAAAGCAGCACATTGTAGTTGCGGGTGATGGAACAGCTGCGATTTCTGCACCTGCAACCAACCCCACACAGTATGAACCTAGTCTTTCCCTATGTGGTTGTTTTCACCATTCATTTGGTGTGCTTGTTTGGATTTCCAGGTAATCTAGCCACACTTAAATTGGAACTATCAGCAAATCATAAATTACAATCATGATGTCACTAGTATTCACACAGTAGTTTTTTGTTTTTTCGGAGCCCTTTCTGTTGCACTATTTTATTACCTGCCGATGCTGCTATTATCTTCATTATTTGTTTCTTCCCGTAATGATGCTGTTTGTTCTGCAGTGAAATCACACACCATGGTGTAGAGACATCAGTTTTTCTGCACACGTCCTTTCAGGGCACAACAAAATCAACAACACTAGCATCATGTGCAGATTTTTTTCTGTGCTGGAATTTGCAACATGTATAAAACGCGTTGACACGTGCATGAAAACTGATGTAAACTGATATCTCTGCAAGTGAAATCTGTGTGTCAGTTTCCATCAGTTTTTCTGCACATATGATGTGAACAAGGCCTAAATGTTATAAATAAAAGCCGACTGTTGGTAAACACCATTGTCAGTGTTAAATGGTTTGCCCAGGATCCTGTAACTGAAACATTTTTGACAGCTCGGTTTGTCAAACGAGGTGACAGAATAACTGATCTACTGGCAGGGTCAATGGGTAATAAAACACATAAAACCCACAGACCAAATGTTGGGCTTTAGGGTCTTAGAAGGAAACATTTTTAGCTGACAGGTCACCCCTTTGAATTATTGAATGTTACCCCAACAGTAATTAATGATCACGCTCTCTATCCATATTGTGGTATCTTGCAGTAGTCTTCATTTATACTCCAGAAACACTATGACTGTGCAGTAGCTGATCATTTTCTGTTTTTTTTTTTTTTTTGTTTTTTTTTTTAAACAGGAAATGAAGCACTTACAAATTCAAATAGCATCTTTATCAGAGTCTGAAAATAATTTGCTGCGTGCTAATGAGAAACTGAGAGAAAAGGTAGAACATCTTCAACAGGAAAATCGCAGTGCTAGAAGCCAGGCGGAAAAGGCTCAGCATGATGCAGAAAAGTGAGACTAACTTTTATTATGGTTGATTTTATTAACATTTTTTATTTTAATGCAAGATACATCTGTCTATAGTTATAATCAATAAAAGTAATTCTTTATGCTGTAACTTATGTCCGAACAATTTAAATACATTTTGTTATCCATATTTTGCCACCTTTGTTACAGGTTTGACACTATACCCTTTTTGTAGCTAAATATTCAAATATAGTTAGTGTGACTCTTGTCCAGCATCCCCTTCACCCATATCCCTTTACATCAGATTGTCCACTCACCTTGGCACGCACCATTTTAATGTAAACAGATAGGATGGTTCATTGATGGTGGTGTGCACACAAGAGACAAAACACAAAGTGAAGTTGGTGAAAACTCTTTTGTTGAATAAAATTACCTGTCTCATGCATATTAAGGTCTTATTTCTTAGGTTTTTTTTCTGGACTGGTCTTGGATAATATATAGGATTCATTAGGCATGTTGTATTGCACTTCAAAGAGTGCACTTCATTTGTAACACCTATAGGTTATGTACACTGCTCAAAAAAATGAAAGGAACACTTTTTTTAATCAGAGCATAGCATCAAGTCAGTTAAACTCCTGGGATATTGGTCTCACCAGTCAATTAGCAGAGGGGGTTGTCAACCAGTTTCAGCTGCTTTGTTAATAAAATTAACAACAGGCACTAGATGGGCAACAATGAGATGACCCCCAAAACAGGAATGGTTTTACAGGTGGAGGTCACTGACATTTCCCTACTCATCTTTTCTAAATGTGTTTTTCACTAGTTTTGCATTTGGCTAGGGTCAGTGTCACTACTGGTAGCATGAGGCGATACCTGGACCCTACAGAGGTTGCACAGGCAGTCCAGCTCCACCAGGATGGCACATCAATACGTGCCATTGCCAGAAGGTTTGCTGTGTGTCCCTGCACAGTCTCAAGAGTGTGGAGGAGATTCCAGGAGACAGGCAGTCTCTAAGAGTGCTTGACAGGGCCATAGAAGGTCCTTAACCCATCAGCAGGACCGGTATCTGCTCCTTTGTGCAAGGAGGAACAGGATGAGCACTGTCAGAACCCTACAAAATAACCTCGAGCAGGCCACTGGTGTGATTGTCTCTGACCAAACAATCAGAAACAGATCTCATAAGGGTGGCCTGAGGGCCCGACGTCCTTTAGTGGGCCCTGTGTTCACTGCCTGGCACCATAGAGCTTGATTGGCATTTGCCACTGAACACCAGAATTGGCAGGTCCGCCACTAATGCCCTGTGCTTTTCACAGATGAGAGCAGGTTCACACTGAGCACATGTGACAGACGTGAAAGGGTCTGGAGAATCCGTGGAGAATGTTATGCTGCCTGTAACATTGTTCAGCATGACCATTTTGGTGGTGGGTCAGTGATGGTCTGGGTAGGCATATCCATGGAGGGAGGCACAGACCTCTAGGTATCAGGATGAAATTAGCAAACTCTACGCTGGTGCAGTGGGTCCTGGGTTCCTCCTGGTGCACGACAATGCCTGGCCTCATGTGGTGAGAATATGCAGTCAGTTCCTGGAGGATGAAGGAACTGATACCATTGAATGGCCCCCACGCTTGCCTGACCTAAATCCAATAGAACACCTCTTGGATATCATGTTCTGGTCCATCCAACGCTGCCAGGTTGCACCTCAGACTATCCAGGAGCTAAGTGATGCCCTGGTCCAGATCTGGGAGGAAATACCCCAGGACACCATCCGTCGTCTCATTAGGAGCATGCCCCGATGTTGTCAGGCATGCATACAAGCACACGGGGGCCATACAAACTACTTTGAGTTGCTGCAATGAACTTTCAGCAAAATGGACTAGCCTGCTGCATCATTTTTTCACATTGATTTTTGGGATGTCTTTTAATTCAGTCCTCTGTAGGTTGGTCATTTTCATTTCCATCAAATTATAGGGCGTCCTCACATTCCTGACACATTACCCAGTCCATATCAGTATAGATATCCAGCATATTTTTCCCCATTGAGATGTGATATGTTTTCAAGTGTTCCTTACATTTTTTGAGCAGTGTATATTTTCACATCTTGTGTGATCTCTGTTTTGTTGTGAAGATAAATTCTCTGTGTACTGTGAGACCTTGTCCAGCTAATAAACTTCATTCTATCACTGGTCTCATTTCCTTAACACTAAAGATGCTGCCATAAGCCTGTTCATGACACTGTGACTTATATGTTTTTTTGTTTTTTTGTTTTTTTTCTACAGAGAACTTGAGGGAAATAGAATTGAATGGCTACAAGAAAAACATAAACTACAGGAGAACCTGTCTCAGATAGAAGAAAAATACAAGGAATTAAAAGACAAATTGCACCGAGCTGCTGTAGCTCAAAAAAAGGTAGTTTTATTTAATATCCCATACAAATCTTTTAAAACTCATGCTTATTCTGTCTTCTATGGTTCTGCCTTACCCCCTCGTTAACATGCTAATGGCATTTTTAAATGAATCCCTTCCATTTTCATTACGTAACCATTTTTAGACCCAGTGACATTGTTTAGACATGGTGAAAGGGCAGACCGGGTGCTGTGATGTTTCCAGGAAGCCTTATACAGCACCCTACCTTCACAGATATAGATGAACAGGAGCCAAGCATGGGCCCAGGTGAGAAGCTGCATACTGATCCTGTAGAGGCTGCAACAGGTACAGCTGCAGACTGCTTCACAGGTCATTGCTGAAGCCAGCAAACTTAGTCAGTAACCTAAGAACCCATGTTTGTCATACAGAAATTCACAAATACTCCCTCTGTAGGCTTCTTAATGATTCTGTCTACTAAGAAGCATCTCATAGTTGCATGCTTCCTTGGTAGTGTTAGTAGCCCACTAATTGGTTTAACTTGTTGTTTAGGCTTCTTTATCAACACTGCAGAACCTGCATTCAGTATTGAGTGACTGTACTGGGGGGTTCGGGAGTGTAACTAATATTTTGCCCATGGCTGTGGCTGTCTAGAGTGGGTCTGTCCTTTTTGAATAGCATAGTTAGTTTTACAGAGCTGAGAATCCCTTAACTGCACATTGACAGGTTTAGCAGGAGGTGTTCCCCCAGGCTCATGCTGGCAATCTGACTAATTATATCTATGTTATTATTATTATACAGGAATTATATAGCTCCAACGGTTTGCTCAGCACTTTACAATATAACGGGAGACAATACAGCAACAATACAGTTCAATACTAGAGGATTAGGAGAGCCCTGCTACTTGGAGCTCTCAGATCGTAAGCTCTAAGGAGCAGGGCCCTCCTAACCCTCTTGTATTGAACTGTATTGTCTCCCGTTATATTGTAAAGCGCTGAGCAAATTGTTGGCGCTATATAAATCCTGTATTATAATAATAATAATGTTACCAAACTTTAATTTAAGTTTTAGCAAACAGATTTGATTTTGTTTTCTTCAGTGTCTTTTATGGGTTTTGATGTGGAATGCTTAATTATGGGGATGTATTTGAAAAGTACTTTTCAGATGTTCATGTATGCTTTTTTTGGTCATTAGTTGTATCTCCTTTTAACAGAGAAAAAACATAAACGACAACAAGTGTAAAAGACTACAAGAAAAGATAGAAATTTTGGAGGCAAAAAAGGAAGAATTGGAGACGGAAAAATCTGTATTAAATAGGTGAGTGTCCGGTCAGGCTAGTGTGTAAAGGTTAATGTGATGATAATGAGAACTGGGCACCCCAAAAACTGTCAGAAGTCAAGGGCAGCCTTGTTTAAAATAGTCATTGATTAATTTTTTTAGAATAGGAGACAGAGCTTATTTATATCTCCGTAGCCAGCCAGAGACCCCCTCCCAGAACATGGCTATAACCCCATGGTTATCTCAGCAGCCAGATGTGAGCACATCTGATGGGGTTAATAAACTGATGTTATCAGTGTTAAGCCAGAGTACTATTAGGCAAGATAGTTCTTAAACAGCTCAAGTGGAATAAACACTTGTTGGCCCACAGTCTGAACAGCCTCCGAGAACACTAATTATTGTAAACTGCTGATGGCTATGATAAGCAGGATCCTGATAACTGAGAAGGGGTCATTGTAATGATTAATTGGGCCTATAAAATCAGTTCATAGTATGCCCCTGTATCCAGCCCTGTTTGAGTTAAAGCTGATGAGACACATAGCTAACCGAAAGAGACAGATATTGCGTAGGATTGTGACCAGAAATAAGAAAACAACTGCTTTAAAAGTGACTGCAGAGCCTAATCTCAGTCTTCACAGGACTGAGATTGAACTCTGCAGTCACTTTTGCAGAAGTTGTTTTCTTATTCTGGGTCACAATCCTGCGCAATGTCCTTTTGTGTCTTTTGGTCAGTTGACTGTGTGGACCGCGCTTATGCTTATCAGATAACATCCTTCCAGAAATTGTATATACTGTCATAACCTTTGATACTGTACCTCAAGACACGGCAAATAAATTGGAAACTTCAGTCACAGAGGCACCAGCTAAGCGGGCACCAACAATTTTGCTTTCTCTGAAGCTCAGTAAGCTCTCACATGACTCCGTATTACTAGCAGAGCAAACTGTGAATGACAAAATTGAGACTTCCCACCTGTTAGATAGGTGTCTCATCGAAAAGCGGAAGTGAAAGAATGTTACATCACTTCTGCTTTCAACACAAAATATGTTGTCACTTTCACACCTGCAAATCGTGTAGTGCTTCCATTTTTTGTCTAAGCCCTATATTATAATCTGTGCTAAAACACGTGTTAATGCAATGTACCAGGTCGCCAACATATAAACGGGTCTTTGGTGCTTATGTAATTAAAATAGACCTACTGTCACTTGTCACACTGTGGGGCAGAAAAGCTAACTAATATACTTGCCTTACCTCCCGCTTCTTCTGCCTGCAGTGCCTAGATCTGGGAGAATGCTGAGTAGCCCAAATCTCATGAGAAGATGCTACCGCACTGTGCTGTATCATCATCTTGCAAGATTTCAGGTACTCGTTTTCTTTGGGCTCTCAGTGAAAGAAAGGTGACATCACCACCTGCTGTATGAAAGTCTGCTTTATCATTGTTTTTCTTTCGTACAAATGGGCAATGCCTAATACCCTCACTGCCTTTGAAGTACCTCATGATGTGACCCTCAAAGGCCTGCAGAGGTCTAGTTAAAGTTATGTCAGCTTCAAAGTCACTTTATCTAACTATGAAAATCTGAACTGGAGACTGAAGACTTGAACATTTTGCATCTTTTTTTTTCCCCAAATGTAAACAGATTGGTCTAAAACCAAACCAAACATTTTTTTTTTTTTTACTCATGCCTTAGACAAAACATTCCTCAAGAAGAGTATGTACGTCTTCAGAAAAGGCTAAAGGACCTCCAGCGGAGACACAATGAATTTCGCACTGTAATACTTGGACCAAACATTGCCACATCTGGCTTTCTGAATCCAGCTAGTTACCTATCTTCCACATTGGTTCCAGGTGCTGAGTTTTCAGTGCATGGTGTTCAGGTAAACAATGTTCTCACCTTCATGGACTTTCATGGGCTTGTAAACATATAAAAGATGTATAATCAAACATGTACACAGCTTAGCTTAAAATGGTACCTTTATATGCAAACAAATTGGAACTAAAATTGTTAAAAATATACTTTATAGTGACTGTTTGTCAGTAATCAGGCTAATCACAGAGCCTGATTGCCGGTACTCTGGGGTATTTGTAGGCATGTTGTTATTTTCATCTAGTTTGTGTTGGCCTAGGGAGCCCCTAAATATACTGTATTGTTGCTGTATTGTCTCCCTTTATATTGTAAAGTGCTGAGCAAACTGTTGGTGCTATATAAATCCTGTATAATAATAATAATAATATACCTCTTATATTGTAAACATACCATCCTAACCTTGCAACTGTATAGTGAAAGATAATAACAGCAGCTAACCTTGCACTGAAATGAGCTCACGCTAATGAGCTCATCTCTCTCTAATGCTGGCCATACATGGATAAAAAAATTGTTAGAAAAAAAAAAAAAAAAAACGGTCGGATTTATAAAGATCTGTTAAACATGCATGTGATAACAAGGTATTGATATATTTCCCCCAATTGTTGACATAGTATCAATCGTTAACAACATTAATGGTACATTTTTTGTCGATCGGTAGAAATAATGGAAAGATTTTTTTGACCTTTTGTGAACCCTCCCACTCTCCAACTGTATTTCAAAGAAATATCTTTCTTTTCATTGCTTGTATTTCTGTGGTTACATTGTAACACATGCATGCGCTGTAGATTTTTTCAAACTATTTTCTATTTCAAAACTAAAGTTCAGAAAATGGATTGTTTTGGCTCAAAAAATATGACGTGATGGTTCGTTTTTTTTGCAGTAAAACTGCGTTTCAATAAATTAGCTCACTAGCGTTTCGAAAGTCATATGATTGAACATATCGAACGATTTTCTAATTGTGTATGGCCAGCATTACTTTGCTCACTTCTCCTATTAGCACTGCAGCAAACCTGATTGGCTGCTTGTGTTGCTTCGCTTTCATTTCTGGGCCTGTTGTACAGTAGCCTGCAAGAGGCTGACACCATGTCAAATTCAGGTACTTGCACTGCTTACATTAAAAAAAAAAAAATCAATTAATTTTAATGATTAAAGAGCTGCATTGATTTTTGCCTTACATGTGTCTGGAGTGAAGTTTTAAAGACTACCATTCCTGTTTAAAACCGTTTTCCACCTCTAGTGCAAAGTTATACCCTGTGATGAACCATACAGGATGATCTCCAATCCTTTCCCCTAACCGTCTCTAAGGGCCTGTGGACTTTTGTTTGCTTCGGATGGGTTGTGCATTCCCATAAAAGTCTATTGGGATGCAAAACTCACTTGAAGCAGGTCAAAAGCAGCTAAAATAATCTATGCTTTTGAATAATCAGAAGCCTCTCAGTCAGATGCCTTTGACAGAGGTCTTAGGGTCTCAAGAGCTGTCAGCATAATACAATTTATACATCACAAGCTTGCTGTGATCTGACTGACTATTTGTTCATTAGCTAATTTATGGGATATGAATTGGGAATCTTGCTCCGTGGCATAAATCTTTCTGTGGGTTGTTTTAATTCCTTCTTATTTAAAGTGTTACTAAACCCAGGACCCTGCATTCATTCTATCTGGTCTCCCACAGTACACAGAACATGGAAGTGCAATTATTTTAGTAAGGTTAAACTGCTAAATACCTTTTCTCATTCGTATTTGGAGCAGTCTTGTGACTTCTATCAGTGTTCAGCAGAGCACTGGTTAAAGCTTGTAGGAGGAGTTTTCTTTCTGATCTAGGAGGATGCAGAACCCCTGACCTCTGTCTGGACAGTGCTGATTGGCCCTGTGCTGATCACATGCACTCTCCCAAGGAAAAAAAAACACTCTAGCAATACATACCACACGATATGTCTTATCAGGAAATAAGAGGGGGAATACTGGAAGAAGGGGAGGATCAGAGAAGTCAGGATCAAACAGCATTTTTACACAATGCAGAGGCTTAACCCTTAAGTTCCACAGTGAGTATATCGAGCATGCTTTACTGCATATACAGACTGATTTTACTGTTGTGGGTTTAGCAACACTTTAAGTCAAGGCTATGTTAACAACTAATTGGTTCATTTGTATGTATCCTGGACTGTTGTCTTCATTGGTTAATTTATTGGGAGAAAAAGCAGCACAACATTTAAAGCCTCAGTTCATTTGTTCAACAGGTGACAATTTTTTTTTTTGTTTGTTTAATTATGTTTCTCCTAGTTAATCTGTGATTTCTCGTTCATTCATTGAGGGACAAAGCCTCACAATCTTGACCGTAGGGTTATAGCGCCACCTTCAGGAGTAGGACTAGACAGAAAAAAAGAACAAGCACAGCACCGCCTATGGGCAGTCCTAACTGATAGTAACCCCCCACTCTGCGATAGGCAGCTCAGTTTTTTTCTGCCTAGTGTAGGAGTAAGGACCTGGCTCCCTGCTGGGACCTGTGGTTCCATAGATTTTTTTTTTTCCTTTTCCCTCTCTTTTTTTTTTTTTTCCTCTCCTTTTGGTGGAGATCTTAAATCAACTGCCGAGCTGGGTGACAGGCTGGATAATATAGATCCTTGTGCATCTCAGACACTTACTGAGTGGGCTAAACTCTTGCAGCACAATTTGGGTAATGAGCAGTTACCCCCGATCTATGTGGAACTGGTGGACCAGCTGGTAAAGACCAAATATGTTTGTGATGCTGCCCTGTATGCAGCCCCTCTGCTCTCCAAGTTGTCCGTCTCTCGGCTGTAGTTCTTCGGCAGGTTCTTTGGCTGAAGTGCTAGTTGGCCGTCCAAACCTGTAAAAAAGCCTTGGCGGATTTACCCTTCCAGGGCGAGTGTCTATTCAAAGCCACTCTGGACAACATTATTAAGGATCTTATGGGAGGGAAGAGTACTTTTTCTCCCACAATCCAGGAAGGGCAAGGAGCCATACCGGAAGCAGGGCCCCTCGTTCTCTGCTCACAAATTACTTTTTAGTTTGGCGGACAAAGGTTCCCAGCCCAACAAGTCTCCCGCTGGTGGAACTAAGCGCTCCTGGCTTTGCAAGCCCCCCAAGCCTGCGGACAAGCCCTCTTCAGCATGAAGGTTTGCCCCCATCAGTTTTCTGGGTGGGGGGTCGCCTTCATTGGTTCGCCGACCGGTGGACTTCCCTACTTTCCGAAGCCTGGGTCCACAAACTGATTTTGTCTGGCTACAAAATAGAGTTTCTATCCTGCCTACCGGACAAGTTCTTTCCTTCCAATTTTCATCTCTCCCCACCTTGACTACAGGCTCTTTATGGGGCGGTGCAGGACTTGTTCCTTCAGAACGTGATAGCCCCAGTGCCGCCTTCGGAAAGCTTTCGGGGGTTTTTAGCCAACCTTTTCTTGGTCCCGAAGAATGAAGGTGTTTAGCCAATCCTGGACCTCAAGGCTCTCAATTGTTTTGTGAAAGTTCAGAGGTTCAAGATGGAATCGGTTCATTCTTTGGTGGCCACCCTCCATCAGGGGGATTTCCTGGCCTCTATAGACATCAAGGACGCATACCTGCATGTTTACATTTGTCCCAGTCACCAGCGCTTTCTGAGACTTGCAATCGGGGACATGCACTATTAGTTTGTGGTGTTACCCTTGGCCTGGCTTCGCCCCACGGGTGTTCACAAAAGTTCTGGCTCCGGTTCTTGCGTCGCTGAGGCAACGGGGATCACAGTCATTGGTTACCTGGACGATCTTCTCTTGCAAGTGGAGTCAGACTCCATGCTGAAGGACAATGTGGTGTTCAATATGCAGGAGTTCGGCTGGGTGTTGCACCTTCAAAAATACGTGTTGCTCCCAACCCAGGGCTTGGAATACTTTGGGCTGATCCTTGACTCAGCGCAGGTTAAGGTGTTCCTCCCGCTGGACAAGCTTCAGACTCCGGACTGCAGTGTGCTTGCTTCTGTCCTGCAAGTGGCCATCTCTCCGTCTCTGCATGAGGGTGCTGGGTGTCATGGTGTCCACCCTCAAGGCGGTCCCGTATGCCCAATTTCATACCCTGACCCTGCAGAAGGAGATCTTATCCAGGTGGGACAGATTTTCAACATCCATGGACAATCTGATCCCTGTGGTACATGTGACTCTTCTCTGGTGGCTGCTGTCTCCAGCTCTTCAGGGTTGGGAAGTCATTTCTCCCTCTCTGTTGGATGGTGATCATGATGGATGCCAGCCTGATGGGCTGGGGAGGGTTCTGGGTATTCAGTCGGCCCAGTGCCGTTGGACATTGGAAGAGTCTCGCCTTCCGATCAATGTTGTGGAACTGCGTGCGATCAGACTCTGATGTTTCTCCCATTGGTCGGAGCTACTACACTGGCAGCCGGTCATAATCCAGTTGGCAGCACCACGGCGGTGGCCTATGTCAATCACCAAGAAGGGACAAGGAGTTCAGCAGCGGTACAGGAGGCCTCACACATCCTCTGATGGGCGGAACGTCATGTTCCAGCTCTTTCCGCCATCTACATTCTGGGCGTAGAAAACTGGCAGGTGGACTATCTCAGCCACCAAACGCTGGATCAGCGAGAATGATCCCTGCACGATCCCTCGTCACATTTGCCTCTGATGGGGCATGCCAGACATGGACCTGCTGGCCACCCGTCTCAATTGGAAGGCGCCTAGATTCATGGCAAGAGTAGGGGATCCCTTGGCGGATACTTTGGATCTCTGATGGCGCCATGGAGTCATTATGGCCTAATATATGCTTTTCCCCCTCTCAAGCTTCTCCCTCTTCCTACACAGGATAGAGGCCGAGGGGATTCCGGTTATTCTAATATTTCCAGATTGGCTCGGCGACCCTGGTACGCTGATGTGGTGCAGCTGGTCGCAGACGTCTGTTGTCTTCTAAATTTATGATGTCCACACAGAAACAGTTCATAAGACAAATCTGTTGTCTTATATCAATGATAGAGGACGTATGACCAGTGTATATTTATAGATGTACTTTTCCCGCAGCAACTAACAGTTCTTTTCCAGAGAGATGCATTCATCGGATAAAGATATTTGTTACAGATGACAGAAATCCAGCTGAACACTTGTAGATATTACAATGAACAACAACCCTCAAAGTCCCATTTAAGATACTTCATATCAAGCATAGAGATATTACACCATCCAGCATATGTCCGATCTATAATATGCACCTACAATAATGTGAGTTATGATCTATACCTGTGCTCTCATATTAATAACATGAAAATGCTCCTCTCCTAAAGCGGATGTACAGATAAGTCAGATGACAGGAAACTTAGAATATTCATGCAATAAATAGAACCCTTCAGAGAACCTTCCTGTGACATTTAACCAAAAATAAGCTTCCTTAATATACACATTTTTCCCATTCAGCACAATGGCAAGTACTCTGATTGACCACTTTTAGTAGCATGTTTGATCTTATATGTCTAGACCTAGAATAGCTGTATGCATAAATTTTAATTAAAAAGTTAAATAGATACTCCTTGTCTTGTTTATGGCAAATCTGCTCTCTTCACCATAAACAAGCACACCATGAATATTTAAGACCATTCCCAATCTATTTGCAAATAACCTGCTCTGAAACTCCCCCTGACTCTCCACATATGTACCCAAAAACAGGTTAACCCAATATAACATAGGTAAGGTAATTACCTCATGCATAAATTAATATAGTTCTTGGCTATCCTTTTGGTGTGTAAAATATGCAGTTCGTCTGGCCCACTATGAATGCCAACTTCACATACATGAATGTATATACAGTACATTTACTCATTTATATATATATATAGTTATATCTATGATACACACATTTTATATGCCTACAACGTCCACTGGCTACTTCCACTGCGCGAGGATCTCCTGTCCCAATGGCCGATATTCCACCCTGCTTTACAGTCTCTGGCTTTGACGGCTTGGTTATTGAAAACCAGGTGCTGAAGGACAGGGGATTGCCAGCTTCTGGGATTCCCACTGTATTGAAGGCACGTAAGTCTACTTCCCAGACGATCTATCATCACAGCTGGAAGGCTTACATTTCGTATTCCGAGGCTGTAGGGTGGCATCCATGCTCTTTTTCCATTTCCTGGATTCTGGCTTTTGTACAACGGAGTGTTGATCAGAATCTAGCCTTGAGCACTATTAACCACTTCCCGTTGTATATAAACGGCCAGATGGTGGCAGTGCAGGTACGGGTGGCCGTTTATAAACGGCCTCCCTGCACCGTGCTTGTGCGCGCTTCCTGGGAGCGCGCAGCACCGCGATCTGGTGCCCACTGTGTCCTCCGGACACCGTGGAACACCGATCGTCGGATGAGACCTCTGTGCGAGGTCCCGATCATGTGATCACTGATTGGCCAATCAGTGATCACATGCAGAGTAGTAAGCAATGATGTCACTTCTGACATCATTGCTTACTACTTGTGAAATCTGTGAATGATCACAGAGGTCACATGGTACAAGGCTATTCACAACAGCCTTGTACCATGTGACAAGCTGTGACCAATCACAGCTCACACAGTAGTTCTCAATGGCTGCAAGAATGCAGCCAGAGAGACTGAGAAATTATTGCTTTTACAGCCTTTATGGGTGTAAAAGCAATCAGTGTAAAAAAAAAAAAAAATCTTCATCACCCCCCCACAAGTAGTACAGTGTCACTATGGTGGCACTGTACTGCTATTGTGACAGTATGTAAAAAAAATAAATAAATAATAATATAAAAAAATTAAAAAAAAGTTTAAAAATTATAATTTTTGGTTATAAACTAATTTGGGTTATTATTTTTTTACTAAAAAGATAACGGAATAAATTTTTGCCAAGATTTATGATGAAATACTATTTATTTGCAAAATTTTATAGGAACAACACTTTTTTACAAACTTTTTTGAATTTTTCATTTACATAGCATTTACCTAGCGCTCTTTGTGCTGTGGATGGTCCTCGTAAGGATCAGGCGGCTTCTTCAGCCATTATTTCTGGTTGGATCAGACAGACGGTTGTCCAGGCTTATGCAGTTAGGGGTCGGGTGTCTCCCTTCCATGTCACGGCACACTACCAGGGCAATTAGTGCTTCCTGGGTGTTCCATCATCAGGTGTTCGTGTCTCAAGTTTGTAAGGCGGCTACCTGGTCGTCTGTGCAACTTTTACCAAGTTTCATAGACTTGATGTTTTGGCATTTTTGGATACATGATTTGGCTACAAGGTTTTGCAGGCTGCTATCTGAGGGTTTTTCTGGGGCCTCTTACATGGGGGGGTTCCTTTGGGTGGTTGTGTTTTCTTCTTATTGTGCTCCCACCCCTCGTTCTGACACTGCTTTGGTACATCCCTATGGTCAAGATTATGAGGCTGTGTCCATTAATGAAGGTAAGAGAAAACGGGATTTTTTTGTTTCTCACGTAAAATCCCTTTCTCTGAGTTCATTGATGGACACAACACCCACCCTTTCTTTTTTTATTGTACTGCTTTGCAATGAACTGAGCTGCCTATCGCAGAGTGAGGGGTTACTACCAGTTAGGACTGCCCATAGGCGGTGCTGTGCTTGATCTTTTTTTCTGACTAGTCCTACTGCTGAAGGTGGCAATATAACCCAAGATTATGAGGCTGTGTCCATCAATGAACTCGGAGAAAGGGATTTTACGGTGAGTAACACAAAAATCCCGTTTTTTTTTTTTGTTTTTATTCTGTATTGACATTGTTGACTGCAGGGAAGTTTGGGGGTGCTCAGAGAGATATATTTTGTGTTCTGTTTATCACAAATCTCTCACAAGTGTATCAGCAACAGTACACTGCCTGTTGGACTTAAGTATGGGAAGATTCCACCCCCCTCCTTCCTGACCAGGCCAGTTTTTGCTTTTCGGCACTGAGCTATTTCAATTGGCAGTTGTGCAGTCATGCAACCTTGTACCCAAATGAAATTTATATCATTATTTCACACAAATAGAGCTTTCTTTAGGTGGTATTTGATCACCATTGAGTTTTTTTTTTTTTTATTTTATAAATGAAAAAAGACAGAACATTTGGGGGAAAATAAACAATATTTTTTACTTTCTGCTATAGAACATATTCAATTAAAAAAAAAAAACAATTCTTCATAAATTCAAGCCAAAATGTATTCTGCCACATGACTGTGGTAAACAAACAATCACAATAAGTGTATATTAACCACTTGCCCTCCAGAGGATTTACCTCCCTTACTGACCAGGCCATATTTTGCGGTACAGTGCTGCATTACTTTAACTGACAATTGCGTGGTCATGCAATGCTGCACCCAAATGAACTGTGTCCTTTTTTTCCACAAATAGAGCTTTCTTTAGCTGGTATTTGATTGCCTGCACGTCTTTAATTTTTTTCGCTATAAATAAAAAGACTGACAATTTTGAGAAAAAAATCAATTTTTGACTTTTTGCTATTAAACATGTCCAGCAAAAAAATTAAAAAAATCTAATTTTGTCATAAATTTAGGCCAAAATGTATTCTGCTACATGTCTTTGCTGCAAAAATCCCAATACGTGTAAATTCATTGGTGTAAAGTTATAGAGTTTACAAATGGTGGTATATATACTGGAATTTTGTTTGTTTTTTTTACTAATAATGGCGGCTATCTGTGACTTGTAGCGGAACTGCAGTGGGCATTCTGTCACTGGGGGGAAACTGACTTGAAACTGGCATGAAGGGGTTAACATCTGGGGAAATCAAAGGGTTAACTGTGTGCTGTTTCACTATGGGGGCTGTGTGAGTCATACAAAGCAGTGTGCAGGAGCTGACACGGGACAGATCTGCATTGTTTACATACAGGTCTCTCCCCCATCGGAGATACTTGGCAATCACCAGGTGTCGGCGAGTAATCACCGTTCAGAACCCGGTGATTGAGAGCCAAGGTCGTGAATGTCCCTACCCGGAACTGCAAAATCACGTATATATATGTGATTTTGCACACCTAAGCCACCCTGTAGCAGTATTTCTGCTATAGGGCGGCGAGAAACTGGCTAATTGGTTTGTGTGAAAGTTATAGCATCTGCAAGCAATGGTGTATATATACTGGATTATTTATTCATTTATTTTTATACTAGTAAAAATGCAGTGTTCAGCGACTAATAATGGCACTGTGTGGCAGCAAATCTGACACTAACTGACACTTTGTGGGAACTGAACTGACTAACTGCCACTGACCTCTCCAGTGACACTAATTCAGTGATCAGTGCTAATATTATACACTGTTACTGCACTAATGACACTGGCTGGGAAGGAGGTAAAAATCTAGGAGCAGTCAAGGGGTTAATTGTGTGTTTGTCAACACATGGCTCGGGGCTGTGATTGGACAAACTGAAATCCACGGTTAAAGTTGAAGGCCCCTTTATGAAAAATGTAACTTGAAGGTATAGCTAAGATCAGTTTTTACTGTAACATAGTTTTGTCTTCCTTTCAGGAGGAACAGCATCAAAGAGAGCTTTCTATGCTTCGAAATAGACTGGAGGAATTGGAAATTGCACAAATGAAACAATTAGAAGAACTTACTCCACCTACAGAGCGCAGTAAGGTAGAGATTGGAGGCTTGGGACATCAGCGCAGGAGAACAGAAGAGGACGAGAATAGCGGCTCGGGTTAGCTTTCAGTCAGCTCCATCCATGTGTGTGTTTCTTTTTTTATAATTGCCAATGGGACTGTTTTTGTAAAACTTATTGAAAACGTAGTATACAGTTTTCATTTTTTATATTATGTGATATTTCTGTTAACTTTGTCACAGAAAAAAAGGATTACTGTTTACTTGGGTATAATGTGACAAACATGGAATACATGAACTGTGATTACAGTGATTCATAACAACGGAAGGAAACTTGTTTTAGAAATACTGTATGTAGTCTGCTGTTGATGACCTCTCCTGAAAATGTCAGTGTTCTGGTTGTTTTGGTGCGTCAGTCTTTTTGATTCATTTACCCAGAACAAGTGTGCACATTTAGTGTGCACACCTAAGTTTCTTGATACTTGTCCATGGATCAGGGACTTTGAAGGGGACATTAGCTTGACAGAGTGGGAACTAGAAATTTCGGAAGACCAGCAATAGCAGCCTACACCCTTCTTAATACAGATCTTCATAAAATCTGATAATTTTTTGATTTCTATTTACCAAGTGTCTGCTCTGGCGCTTAACATTCTGTGTTCTCAACCTGCTGTCATCAGGTCTGCAGTGGGTTAACAAAGGAAACCTCTTATCAATGGGTGCAGGTTGGATTTTGCGTGCATCCTGCAGGAGGGGAAGAAGAGTGATCCTTATGCTGCCCTAGCTCAAATCAGAAATATCTCAAATATGTTTAGCTCCAATAGGCTGCTGTACACCTCCATCTGTCATGTTCTTTGATAGCCACATGTACTTTATTATCACCGGTGTGAATGATGTTTATCATACAGTCTGAATTTTGTAATGTGATTTCCATTATTTTTTTACTGTGAGGACAAAGTCAGGTATATTAAATATTTGCACTTTATGAAATACTAGATTGTGTTTCTTTCTTATATCATTAGTTTAAATTATAGGTGTAATATTTTAACTGTGTACTGTGCCATGAAATCTTTCATATTTGTTTTTTTTACTAAGGTTCATAGGTGAAAAATTTTAAGACTACGAACTGCAAAAGTGGTTCATAAATCTATTTTTTTTTTAACATCCCTCATGAGGAAACATGAAGAAATAAGATTTATAACAAAAACTGTGGACTTTGCATATATAATATTTTTTGTGTTTAATTTTTGTCACAATTTAATTTTTGTGTTGAATATATAAAATAGGAACACAGACTTTTTTAGTTATATATTTTTTTGTTTGCCACTTTATGGAGTATGTTATAAATACACAAGTGAGTTTTATATATATGCACATGCACTTTGATACATTTTTTATTTTAGACACAGAAAATACAAATTGACGTTGCACTTTATTATTTGGCACTTTAGGCTATGCTAAACAGGGGACAAATAATTGTCATTTTTTTGTATATATAAGTATTTAGTTTTCACTTTATGAGTAGGCTATATATGCACAAGTAATAGATGCATTGATTTGGTAGAATTGGGTTATACACACACATACACTTTTCCTTATATATTTTTTTCACAGATAATGTCATTGCACCTAACACTTTTTAGGATCTATATATGCACAAGACACTAGATTTCGAACAGTGTTCCTTTTTTTCCTCTTTAAAGTAACAAACGAGTAGAAGATGCATATGCACCTCATTGTGAGTTGATTTATAGTGATAGTTTCGAATAGCGCTGTCTAGTTTTTGTACAAGGAGAGGAAAATACTCGGGGCTGCAGCGACACATGACTATGGCTTAGGGAAAGTAAAAAAGGAATTTAGGTAGGTTTTTTTTTTTTTTTTAAATCCAGCAATCAATTGTAGAGTGAGGCTTTAATAATTTTTAGTAGACCTTTTGTAGAAGCTCAGACCAGTGTTTCTAAACTTATATTATGTACCCTTTTTATGACAAAATATGTTGTAGAATAGATAAATATTCCCTGACAGGTTATGTTGTCCAAACAATCCTTCAGTCCAGGGTAGGGTACGTTCATATCTGCATATTTGCCCGACACCAATTATATGCAAGGGGGTGTCCTGGTGATTAGCTGAGGATGGCAGCCCCTTTGGAAAGCAATGGGAGGCTGCTGGCTCCTGCAACTAATTGCAGCCATTTGCATGTAATCGCTATGTTGTGATTACCTGCGAATGATCATCCCTGGACGCAGAAGTCTCTGTCAGAGTCTCCCCGCTGTCAAAATACAATAGTGCTGTGGGGAGGATTTCCCCATCCACCTCGAATTTGTGCATGGGGGAATTGGTATGGCCAGCTTAACCCTTTTCCTTGCATTGTATCCTAACTGTACTGTCTCTCTTTAAATTGTAAAGCGCTGTCCAAACTATTGTTGATAGATAAATTCTGTATAATAATAATAGGACACATACACAACGTCCAGCTCCTCTCCTCCTGCCACCTTTCTTCTCACAATTATTACTGGAAATTGCCAGCAGTCAAATGACAGCTTTTACTGTAACACAGTTTATTTACATGTTTACACTCTTTTCAGCCATCCTATTGGTGACGGCACATTTCTTAACAGCTTTCCATCCATTGGATTTGAAGGGTGATAGCTTGGTCATCGATGCAGCAATGATCAAGATATAATTTTTTTAGCCTCAACGATTCTGCACAAAGTAAATGTAATCCTTGCGGCTAAGAGGCCACTGCATTACTTTCATAGGCGGCGGAAAGGAGTCTTACCCCCCTCCCGCTGCCTTCTTTACTAGGATTGTTCAGTGCAGTTGGGGAGCCCAGTAAGGATGTGACTTGTGGCATCAGGTTCCTGGGACACAGTGAGAGGAACTGATGTTGTTCCTCCCACTGTGTCATCAGAAACCAGAAGCTACAAGGATTTTGCCACTTCCAGTTTTTGTCTTGTGTAAGCACAAGATCCGTTACTGGATTGAACAAGCATCTGATCAAACTAATCTTGCTTTGGAGGCCAGAGAGGAGATATGGGGTCTAATAGTCCATAAGTCCTAAAGAGGACCCGTCATAGCCTGTGCTATCACAAGGGATGTTGATCATCCCTTCTGATAGAAAAATAAAATTAAAAAAAAATTAAAGATAAAGAATTTTTTTTTATTATTAAAACGTTAAATAAAAAAAATAAAATTAAAACGTATCTGTGCTCACACGCAAATATGAACGCGCACATAGGTCCTGCATATGTAAGTAATGATCACACCACACATGTGAGGTATCGCCATGAACATCAGAGGGAGGGAAATATTTTTACCTCCAGACCTAATCTTACTCTAAACTGGTTACCTGTAAAGATTTTTAAAAGATCGCCTATGGAGATTTTTAGGTACTGTAGTTTGATTCTGTTCCACGTGCGGATGCAGTTTTAAAGTGTGACGTGTTTGCTATCTATTTACTCAGCGTAACATCATGGTTTATATTTTACCAAACAATTGGGTATTATATTGTGTTTTTGTGCATTAAAATTCATAAAAGTGAATTCTATCCCAAAAAATTTGCATTTGAAAAACTGCTGCTCAAATACCATGTGACATAAAAATATGCAACACCCACCATTTTATTCCCTAGGACCCTTGTTAAAAAACACACAGCGGGTAAAGTAAGTAGTATTGAACACGTCACCTTTTTTTCAGTAAATATATTTCTAAAGGTGCCATTGACATGAAATTTTCACCATATGTTGGCAAGAACCCATGCAACCCATACATACAAAGATAAAAACAAATAAGTTTCAGAAATTAAGTTATGTGTAATAAAATGAATGACACAGGGAAAAAGTATTGAACACATGAAGAAAGGGAGGTGCAAAAAGGAATGGAAAGCCAAGACACCAGCTGAAATTTATCAGTAATTAGTAAGCAATCCTGCCCCTTGTCAGTGCAAATTATTATCAGCTGGTTCAGTTTCAACTGATGGCCTATAAATAGATGTCTCATTACCAAGGTGTCGCACAAGAAAACATCTCATGATGGGTAAAGCAAAGAGCTCTCTCAAGAGCTTCACAATCATATTGTTGCAAAACATACTGGTGGCATTGGTTACAGAAGGATTTCTAAACTTCTAAATGGGCTGTTATGGCCATAATGCAGAAGTGGAAAGAACATAATTTCACCATAAACAGGCCATGACCAGGTGCTCCCTGCAAGATTTCTGACCGAGGAGCAAAAAGAATTATCAGAAGAGTTGTCCAAGAGCCAAGGACCAGTTGTTGAGAGCTTCAAAAAGACCTGGAATTGCTTCAAAGAAAACAATAAGTAATGCACTCAACCACCATGGCCTGTATGCAGGCTCACCATGCAAGACTCCATTGCTGAAGAAAAAGCATATTTGAAGCTTGTTTAAAATTTGCTACACAACATTTGGACAAGCTTGTGAATACTGGAAGAATATAGTTTGGTCAGATGGGACCAAAATTGAACTCTTTGGATGCCATAATACACACCATGTTTGGAGGTCAAATGCCACTGTACATCACCCCAAAAAACACCATACTAACAGTGAAGCATGGAGGTGGGAACATCATGGTTTGGGGCTGTTTTTCAGCATATGGTACTGGCAAACTTCATATCATTGAAGCAAGTGTGAATGGAAAAATGTACCAAGGCATTCTTGATAAAAAAATCTCTTGCCAATTACCATGATGATGAAGATGAAACGAAGATGGACGTGTCAGCAAGACAATGATCCCAAACATAAAGCCAAGAAAACTCTCAACCGGTTTCAAGAGAGAACATAAAGCTGCTAGAAAGGTCCAGCCAATCACCTGACTTGAATCCAATAGAAAATCTATGGAAAGAACTAAAGATCAAAGTTCATAGAAGAGGCCCACAGAACCTTCAAGATTTGAAGACTGTGTGTAAGAATGAGCCAAAATCACACCTGAGCAATGCATGCAATTAGTTTCTCCACAGAGGAGTCATCTTGAAGCTGTCATTGCCAAAGGATTTTGTATGAAGTATTAAATATATTTCAGTTAGCATGTTCAATACTTTTTACTTCCCTCAGGAGCTCTTTAGGTTTCTTTGTATGTATGGATTGCCTGAGG